AATTAAACACCTTTTCTATTTGAAAATATAAACATTTAATGGAGTTTAACATATTAGATAGATACTCTATGTGTCAACTGCGCTACAGCAGATAATAGTTTAACCCTAGAGCTTATTTTTTTAATTGTTTGCTAAAACACAGTGTTTATATGTAATAAAGAAAATCAGAATGAGCAACACAGTAACATGTATATGTGCCATCGGCACTTCCAGCCCAGAGGATATATACTGTAAATATATATATATATATATATATATATATATATATATATATATATACACTATATTGACAAAAGTGAGACACCCCTCCAAATCATTGGATTCAGGTGTTCCAATAACATCCATGTGTTTAAAATCAAGGTCCTAGGCATGCAGACTGCTTCTACAAAAACATTTGTGAAAGAATGGGTCACTCTCAGGAGCTCAGCAACTTCAAGTGTGGTATTGTAATAGGTTGCCACCTGTGAAATAGGTCCATCTGTGAAATCTCCTTTACTAAATATTCCACGGTCAACTGTTAGTGGTATTTTAACAAAGTGGAAGCAACTGGGAACAACAGCAACTCAGCCACAAAGTGCTAGGCCAGGTAAAATGACAGAGTGGGGTCAGCACATGTTGAAGCACACAGTGCACAGAAGTGCAGTACAAAGTGTCAGATGCAGTTGTGTAAAGCGCGATGCCACTAGACTCTACAGCAGTGGAATCACACTTCTCTGTCTGGAAATCCGATGGACGTGCCTGGGTTTGGCGATTGCCAGGAGAACGGTATTTGCCTGACTGCATTGTGCCAAGTGTAAAGTTTGGTGCAGGGGGATTATGGTGTGGGGTTGTTTTTCAGGGGTTGGGCTTGGCCCCTTAGTTTCAGTGAAGTGAGCTCTTAAGGCATCAGCATACCAAGACATTTTGGACAATTTCATGCTCCAAACTTTGTGGGAACAGTCTGTTCCAACCTGACTGCGCACCAGTGCAAAAAGTAAGGTCCATAAAGACATAGATGAGCAAGTTTGGGGTGGAGGAACTTGACTGGCCTGAAGAGAGTCCTGACCTCAACCCGATAGAACACCTTTGTGATAAATTAGAGCAGAAACTGCAAGTCAGACCTTCTCGTCTAACGTCAGTGCTTGACCTCACAAATGCACTTCTGGAAGAATAGTCAAACATTCCAATAAACACACTCCTAAACCTTGTGGACAGCCTTCCCAGAAGATAGCTTCAAAGGGCGGGGCCAACTCAATATTGAACCCTACGGACTAAGACTGGGATGCCTTTAAAGTTCATGTGCGTGTAAAGGCAGGCATCTCAATATGTTTGGCAATATAGTATATATATATATATATATATATATATATATTTATACTATATACATTTACAGTATATATGTATATATATATCTCCTCAGGAGCAAGTGGTTATACCAGGATCATGGCTACAGCTGAGTCCATAATCCTGCTACAGCCACCAACCAGCTTTCAGGTAAGAGTGATTCAAGCAGCTTCCAAATTACTTTTATAGGACTTGGGAGGGGTCTCCATTACTGCTGCCACCCACCACTGTTGTCAGGCTCTCCCATTCCTACAGGGAGTTTGGGACCACTGCAAGTAATCTGGTTGTCTGACCACAGAGAAAAGGGAGGAACATCTATTCTTCATTCTCTTCTGTGATAAATGAAGCTGGAAGCAACAAGGATTTTTTCACTTCTGATTTCAGTTCAGTGTTTCCCTGGCCAATGCCAGCCAGGAAAGCAGTCGTCGATCAAACCAATCTCAGTTGATCTGCGATCTTGGAGGGATAAGCAGGGGCCAGGGGTCTACTGTAGTTTGTTGCCATTTCACAGGCATGCAACATTTAACATTTCAATATGTTTGGTATCTATTTACTTAGCACAACATCATATTTTATATTTTGCCAAAAAATGGGTATTATATTGTGTTTGTGTGCAATTTATTTAGATGCATTTTTATCTGCAAACTTGAACTTGATAAAGGCTGTGCAATTAGCACGTTACATAAACAATTGCAACAGCCACCATTTTATTCTCAAAGGCATCTGCTTTCAAAAAATATATGGTTGATGGTTCTAAGTAATTTTCTAGCAAAAAAAAAAAATCTGATTTTTACATGAATTCATTGACTTTGCCATTGTTCATAAACTACGAAAGCTTGATAATCATATTCAGTAAGCTCTGTTCTAGCCTGTACCCTGAGACCTAATAGGGCATTGATATAATGCTCTTGCAGAAAACAGAAAAAGTGTAACTAGGCTGTTTAGAGTAGAAATAATGGTCTACCTGTGGTCGTTTTACAAAAATCTAGATTTGCATGCTACCATTTAACTAACAGTTTACTTATAGTACACATTTTGAAGAAAAAATAATTTGTTTCAAACGGTCAATGGCACCAAGAATAAAAGCTCCACTATGTTTACATACTATGGGAATAAAAGTGTTTCTTTACTTTACAGATGCCCATACCACAAAATTAGTAATTAGCTTTGATACCTGAATTCAGTAGAAAACATAATACTGGATTGCTGCTGTGTAAGGGAAAAAACTTCCAGCGCAGCCGATATAAGAGCTTTGAAACTCTCATACATTGAAGCAATCCAGTCATTTACCCTTACTTCCACCTCCCCACCATTTACAAAATGTATTCTGTTCACAGAACATTCTTTTTACATAACGGAACACAGTTGAACATAGTTGAACATATGTAACTATTCACTGTATATACTATCCCGCACATTTGGTATATACAGTGTATAGTTTTATTGGTCCTAGCTGGACTAATGTAACTATGTAAAATATCCATACCTGGAACTTTCTTTAAGGTGGAGCTTCACTTTTTCAATCAACACTGACTATTTTGAATCCCTTTGCTCCTAGCATTAATAAATAGATAGGAAAGTACAGTATATCATATTTACTTGTTTTAAACAGTTTTTTGCATTTATTTAGTTACTTCCTAGTTTCCATGCCTAGGCATATTATGTCATACATCCTGGGAGTCTAGCCACGGCTAGAAATGCAAGGGGTTGGGGGGTTTGTAAGTGATTTCTCATTATCAGCAAAATAAAGCATTGAGACATGAATGGGCAAGTTTGCTTTGAATATTACAAATAAATTAAAAGGTGCTGTTGGATTGTGGTGCTCAGATACAGTGCAGTTCCACTTTAACTATTGAAAAGAAACTCTCAGCATTGAATTTTTTGGCTTAGGTTCTGCCTTTTTTTCTAAACAATCACGCTACACTCATTCCACTACCATTAGTATGTTCTCAATCAAATTATTACAGTTTATGAATGTTCTGTGCATTCTGAATTGTCAGATGTGGCATACTGCTGTTTTTAGCAGTGGTTAATCTTAAGAATGATAAGACATTGCTGTAAAGGTCAAAATGAGATGAATGTAGTGCAGCTGTCTAGAATGTTTTCTTCATAGTAATGCTTCTTAACTTTATGCTGTCTTACTCCAGATGTTTTGGAAATAGCAGAAAGTGACAGGTGTTTGACTGTGTGAATTGTAAACCGAGGTACGTCTGCAGCACACAGAGAGAATGAATCACAATGTGGTTGGTATTATCCAAAATCTCTATAGCAAGTATGGTAAAACAGATTGGCTCATAACAACTGCCTGAACTTTTTGAGATTGATTGCTAGTGACAGGAAATCCCAGCACTTCTGGGTTTTGCACCACTGGCTGCAATAAATTTCTTTTCACAGAGATTAAAAGGGAAAAAGATCACTTTAGTGTCTGTAAATAAGGATATGAAGTCTTTGTAAGTTTCAGAGTTTGTTTTTTATTTAGTCTCTGAAAACTGCAGTTGTGATTTCTTATTCTGATCCTGTTGGTCATATTGCATATATGAATTTTGAGGGAGAAGTCTATTAACATTTTGCTACTGAAAATAGACAGTGGTCTTGATAAAACCCAGATATTTAAGCTATACTATATAACCAGACACCCCTCCAAATAATGTAGGTGTTTCCAGCGAAGGATACTGTTAATACTATAGCATACAGCACAAAAACACTAATTGTGGTGTTGATTTACTAAAACTGGAAAGTGCAAAATCAGGTGTAGCTCTGCATAGAAACCAATGAGCTTCCAGCTTTTTTTTCAAAGCTTAATTGAACAAGCTGAAGTTAGTTATTTTTAAGCTTGCTGTTGGTGATTACATAATGGAATATATGTTCAATGTGGTTTAAATCATTGTGGTTGATTTACTAAAACTGTAGAGTGCAAAATCTTCTAGGTTTTTTTTTGTCAAAGCTTAATTGAACAAGCTGAAGTTAGAAGTTGATTGGCTACCATGCACAGCTGCACTTGATTTTGCCCTCTCCAGTTTTAGTAAATCAACCCCTGTGTCAACAGTTTGGTGAAGGCTTTTTCGTTGCTAGCATAACTGTACACAAAAGTCAGCTACCTAAAGTCATGGTTTGATAAGCCTGCTGTGGCAAAACTTAAGTGGCCTGCACAGAGCGTAACCTCAGCTCTATTGATCAATTGTGACATGAATTTGAACACCAATTGTGTGTCAATATCAGTACCCAATGTTACAAATGGTCTTTTAGCTAACTAGACACAACTTCCCATAGACGCAATTTAAAATCTTGTGAAAAGCCAGAAGGTGAAGGCTATTAAAACTTCAGTGTGTGTGTGTTTGGGGAAGTGGGGTACACTCCATATTTATTACCATGGTATTAAATGTGTTTTTTTTAAGTTTATATAGTTGTGTTGGTCAAGGGTGCGCCAATCTGCAGCCATTGAGTCTGTTTTCACAGATAAACCTTAGCACACATACAATGTCATTGTTTTTTTAATACAGAAAAGTAAGAATTAGAGGAAATTGGTGGTATAACTAACGGTTATTCTGCATTAGTATTTAATCCATAGGAGGCAATAATTGTGTAGAGTATATATATATTTTTTTATATGTTTATTACTACGGTGTCTGTTCATCCAAAACTGATGTTTCCATATAAGTTGGATACCGATTGTTCAGATCATTCACTGTGTTTATATATCGTATTTTTCGCTCCATAAGACGCACCTGACCATAAGATGCACCTAGGTTTTAGAGGCAGAAAACAGGAAAAAACATATTCTAAACCAATGGACTGCAGAACTAGAACAGGAGATGACCAGAGACTGCGGACATAGTACAGGAGATGACCAGAGACTGCGGACACAGTACAGGAGATGACCAGAGACTGCGGACACAGTATAGGAGATGACCAGAGACTGCAGAGATAGTACAGGAGATGACCAGAGACTGCGGACACAGTACAGGAGATGGTCAGAGACTGCAGATATAGTACAAGAGATTACCAGAGACTGCGGACAGCACAGGAGATGACCAGAGACTGCGGACAGTACAGGAGATGACCAGAGACTGCGGACAGTACAGGAGATGACCAGAGACTGCGGACAGTACAGGAGATGACCAGAGACTGCGGACAGTACAGGAGATGACCAGAGACTGCGGACAGTACAGGAGATGACTGCTGACCTTTGGGGAGGGGGGGGGAGCGGGTACCTGAATTTGACAGGTACCCGCTCTTACTTCCGTGGAGTTGTTCTTTGGTTAGTGTCCGCTCTGCAGTGGGCCCTTACCTGTTCCTCTATCCAGTGCCGAGCTGTCCTCCCGGCTTCTGTAGTGTGGGCGCACGGCTTGACAGCTGGGTGTCCAGTGCGCATGAGCGAGAAGCGCTGCGCTTTGTGATTGGTCCAGCAGCTTCTGGGACTTGTCTTGTGTCCCAGGTGCCGCCTTAGCATTCACAAAGCACACCGCTTCTCGCGCATGTGCACTGGGCACCCGGCTGTCAAGCCGAGCGCCCATACTACAGAAGCCGGGAAGACAGGATAGAGCAACAGGTAAGGTCCCGCTGCAGAGCTGAGCGGCCGGCCCTGTATACTGACGCGGCGGCAGTGGAAATACCGCTCCATATTAGCTCCATACGACGCACTGACATTTTCCCCCCTTTTTTGGGGGGAAAAAAGTGCGTCTTATGGAGCGAAAAATACGGTATATATATATATATATATATATATATATATATATATATATATATATATAGATAGATAGATAGATAGATATAGATATATCCCTCATCACACACCCTCTCCACCTGTCCTCTCCGGCTCTTCTCCACTTTCAACTCTCTACTCTCTTCCCCCCACCCAGTAGCTCACTCACCGCCCATGAGATTGCCAATCACTTTCAAAACAAGATCAACGCAATCCGTAAGGACATCGCCAATGCTCAACCTACCTCCCCACCTAGCCTCCCTCCCACTATAACCCCAGCAACTCTCCCCTCTTCTGACCTCACAACCGCCCTACCCCCCACCACACCTAACATCCGGCACACTATAACCTCCCCAACACTCCGCTCCTTCAGCCTTGCTACCACTGAGGAGGTCACTAAGGTCTTCTCAGAAGCCTGTCTCACCACTTGCACCCTTGACCCTGTCCCCACACAACTCCTCCGGTCACCCTCCTCCTCCATCCTGCTCTCCCTCACCCACATCTTCAATCTCTCCCTCTCTACTGGCGCATTCCCCTCCCCCCTAAAGCATGCGCACATCAACCCATACTCAAAAAACCCTCCCTGGACCCCACCGACCTGAACAACCTTAGACCCATCTCCCTGCTGCCATTTACTTCCAAGCTCCTTGAGTGCTTAGTCTACAATCGCCGAAGCGCCCACCTCACTGACAACAACCTCCTTGATCCACTACAGTCTGGCTTCCATCCCCTACACTCCACCGAAACTGCCCTACTCAAAATCACTAATGACCTGCTAACCGCCACTACTCAGTCCTCTTACTCCTCGACCTTTCCGCGGCCTTCGACACAGTTGACCACCCCCTCCTCCTTACTAAACTACACTCCCTCGGCATCAGAGACTCCGCTCTCTCCTGGCTCTCCTCCTATCTATCCCAACGCTCCTTCAGCGTTACCTATAAGACTGCCACCTCCCCCTCTCCCCCCCTCTCTGTTGGGGTCCCCCAAGGCTCTGTCCTAGGGCCCCTTCTCTTCTCCATCTACACCTCCTCTCTCAGCAAACTGATACACTCCCATGACTTCAGCTATTACCTCTACTCCGATGACATGCAAATTTACCTCTCCACCCCTCGCCTCACCCCTTCAGTCTCCACCTGTATTACCCACCTACTGAACGACATATCAGACTGGATGTCGCTCCATTTCCTCAAATTGAACCTTTCCAAAACTGAGCTTGTGATTTTCCCCCCAGACCGCCCCCCCCCCCCACCCTCTCCATCACGACCAACAACGCCACCATCAGTTCCACCCCACAAGCCAAAGTCCTAGGTGTCACTCTAGACTCCAACCTGTCCTTCCAACCCCATGTCCAATCGTTGGCAAATTCATGCAGGCTCCACCTCCGCAACATCTCGAAAATACATACGTTCCTAACCCCAGACACTACTAATCAAATCAATCACTCCCTTATTGTCTCACGTCTGGACTACTGCAACTCCCTTCCCACCGGCCTACCTCACCACAGACTATCCTCGCTTCAGTCTATCCTGAACTCAGCGGACAGACTCATCCACCTTACCAACCGCTCCGCATCTGCCACCCCCCTCTGTCATTCCCTCCACTGGCTCCCGATTACCCAACACATTAAAATTCAAACTACTAACACAGACATACAAAGCCATTCATAACGCTGCCCCAAACTACCTCACCGACCTGATACCCAAATACCATCTAACCTGTACTCTTTGCTACTCACAAGACCTCCTACTTTCTAGCTCCCTGGTCTCCACCTCCCACGCCCGACTGCAGGACTTCTCCAGGACGTCCCCCATCCTCTGGAACTCACTACCCCAATCCATCAGACTGTCACCAACCCTCCTCACCTTTAGGCGCACCCTGAAAATCCATCTCTTCAGGGAAGCCTACCCCGCTCTCACCTAACAGCCGATCTCCTCCACTCCATCCCCCACAGCCATTTCCTCCTGTACCACTATCCCCTCCCTCCTAGATTGTAAGGCCCTTGACCCCCTCGTGTTTTGTTTTGTTACTGTATTGTCTCATGTTCTGTCCCCCACCATAATGTACAGCGCTGAGCAAACCTTTTAGCGCTATATAAATACTGTATTATAATAAATAATATATTAGTAGTGATATTCCTGTTGTCAGATTATACTCTTCCTAATGGATTTTTACTAGTAAGCATTTTGGAGAATGCTACACAAGGAGTAACAGTTAACAGTGCAAGTGTCAGAGCCAAGAATTCTAAAGAAAAAGTGGTACTATTGGCAGTCCTGAAAGAAACGCAAAGGAAGCTAGCAAGCCACCCAGATCTAATAGATCAGTTTTGGATGGACTAAACCCTTAATGTGAGTTTAAATAAGTTGGTCTCATTAACCATAGCAATTTTAAAGCTAATTTTGAGGTAATAAATCCTCTGCTTCACATTATACAATCCATGTTTTTTGGATGTATTTTATTTTACCTATCCCTAAAATGCACAAAAAAGGTTGTTTATACCTCTCCCTGGCGTAGTTTCCAGCTTGTGTATTGTAAACAGCAAAAACACCCACAAACAAATAAACCTGGCAATGATTAAAATCTTCAGAGTCATTGGAAATCATAGATTAAAAGTGCTATTAGGTCATCTTGGTCTAGGAAATTTGTATGTCTTCTTAAGATGACTAGTTGGAGGTGACATAGGTGTAGATGCCCTTTTTTTCCTTTTCAAGCTGATGCACCATTTTCATGCCCTCATCTCTGAAACTGAATGCAAACTTTGTAGCTCCTAATGTTAATCATTGCTTTTTTTACAAAGCTGTACTATTATAAAGTTCAGAGGAAGTGCGCTTGAACTACTCACTGCAGGCACCAGTAGTACAATAAAAACCATCTTACCCCATGGAAGCACTTTATGGATAAAGCAATTATTCTCAGCTGCTATTATTTTTTCATCATACAAATATAATTTCAAGTAATAAAAATGAATAACATAAAAAAACCTTCAGAATATGTGGTTCTCTTTTATTAAGGAAGCAAACTCATAATAGGATACAAATGATTAATTTTAAAATTATAATAGATGTGCTTGATTAGTCTGCATGCAGGACGTATGTACAGGATTGATTTTGTAATGTGAAAGAGTGCAACAAAAGTAAAAAATATGTTCTATAAAATGTTAAAGTTGCTGTTATTTGTTTAATGAGACAGTTGTAAGTATTCAGTGCATAACGTATAACAGATGGCAATGGGAGAAATTATTTAAGGCTGATCAAATAAGTAAAATATATTTGCTTCAAGCACCCAATCAGGTTAAGTGGGTTTGAAAAAAAGGTATTTATCCTAGCCTTAGGTATTTGGAATTTGAAAGGAATGTAGGCTCACTAGTCTGACAAAGGTTTAAGAAAATGAAGACAATTTTATATTTTTTAACATCACAAATATATTATAAAAATAAATGTAGTATATAGGTATATTATGTACAGTATAGTATGACATACAGTAGTATACATTATTAGTTTTAATATTTATTTGCTTTACAAACAAAAGTTCATAATTATATTTTATATCTACTATATATAGGTATACTGACTGTGATAGTTGCAGTTCAGTAAACTAGCATTTCTTTACTGTGTTCCAGAGAACATGTGTGTGTTATTTTGTTTTTTTGTTTTTTTCAAACTGCTTAATTAGATCATAAAAGCTTGCGGTGGTCTAGAAAGCTCTAAACAGTTAGTTTTTTTTCTTGATGGGAGTCAGAGTTTTTCATCTTTAATAAAAATGAGGAAAAAAGGAAAGGAGCAAAGAAGGAAGGGGTAAAAATAAGAGGTATGATGTGTGTGCGTGCAGATGAGTTATACTATAATCCCAAGCTGAAGATCAGTTATACTGTGGTCCCAAGGACACTGAGTTCCTCAGTATGCTATGCATGGATGGAAAAACTCTAGAGTTTCCAGCTTGGAAATAACCATAAAGAATTAAGCAAGGCAGGTGGTGCACGCTGTCTTTTCAACGGAATTGTTGTCTGATCTTTATTGAGTTGCGTTTTGTGTTGCACTCTTTGGAATTTTCTACCCCAGCTACAGGGGGTTCACTAATTGTGTGAATGCTATAGAAGGCTACTTCTCCAGCCAGACAATGTGCAGATCGGACACTATGGAGATTATTTACTAAAACTGGAGAGTGCAAAATCTGGTGCAGCTCTGCATAGAAACCAGTCAACTTCCAGGTTGTATTGCCAAAGCTTCACTATAGCTGATGTTAGAAGCTGATTGGCTACCCTGCACAGCTGCACCAGATTCTGAGTGCTCCAGTTT